ATCCTGATAGACATATACTTTGGTCCAAAGTTAGATAGCAGAAAGAAATAAAGAATCAAACACTAGTCAGCTACACTTAAACCGTCTCGGAAAGTGAACACCACATGACTAAAGCGATTATCTGAGGTGATGAAAAGATTCACAAAATGACACCAGTACCCCACCGCCTCCACTTAGTGTAATTATTACAAAGGCACAAATTCGAAGGCCAACAAGTCGCAAAAAAACGAGATAAATGCAAGCGTAGCACAGAGCGATCACATACGTGGACATGAAAAAAAGAGGATCCGAAACTTGGGACCTTCAGAAGGCTGGTCAGGAAGCTGAGCGGTATGTCTTTTTGGCTCGGTCGACGACTAGCACTGATTGTCGAAGTCATCTTCTAGAGAGAGTAAACCCACCCAGTAAAAATCAAACCAGTATGGCGGTGATGCATAAAAAGGGGACGAAAGTGATGCCACACGGAATTGCGATCTTTGCTTACTTTGACTAAGCCACGATTAGGCGAAGCTCCCCTTCCTTACAAAAATGGCAACGAGATGGGAATAGCAATTGGACTTGAATGTGGAAATGGAAGATGAGTGAATGGGTCTAGATGGATATAATAGTTACGGGTGAACGCCCTTGACAATGCCTCCAATGCCCATAGAATAACGTTAAGCAAACTAGTCCAGAGCGATAACTTGAGTCATTATAGTTTAAGGGGTGAAGTTGTCGTAGCCCCAACGATAAGAATTCTGGCTTATGATGAATGTTTTGCGTATTGCCTTTTGAAAAACTGCTAACAAGCAGCATAGATGGAGCTAGTTGATCGGTATTAATTCCAGTGACCTGAAAGATCCCATGCAGTGAAGGGATTAACAAATGGTAGACATCTAATTTTAATAGTATACAATTAAATGGCAATCATCTTATTATCAAACTGAAAGTTGGTCAAATTGACAAGTGGCGTACCGAAATCCACTGAGCATCGGTGACAGAGGAGAGCACATTTTTTGGTAGGATTCGATCGAGGGAGGTTCTCAAAATGCGAGCAGACATTATTTTTAGAACAAATGAATTAACTTGAAGCAGAATAGGAGTTAGCAGTTTATAAAGAATTCCCGATGCATAAATCTAAGGTCTTGTTTAATAACTAAACTGGGTCTCATGTTTCGAAAGTCACAGCGAAGAGAAAAACACCTACTTGAAATAACAAAAAGTGCTATCACTGTGATAACATCCTTCCGCTGAACATTTGCATCTTACGTGTCTAATAAAGAGAACTCACTGAGATTCAGATGACCCTTCACTTCGCCACATGAAGATAAGAGTGCCCAGTTCGAGGGCCTGCTCTAAAGAACACTTGTAGTAACCACAAAGAAAGTTTTTCATTGCCTATAGGGTAAAAAGTGAAAGAAAATAAATTTCTTTAGCCCAGGGCAGAGAAGGAAGATCGTCTAACCTAATGGAAACATACCTGGGGAAAATTTATCAGTCTATCCTCGATAATATGCCTCCCGGGAACGACATTCAGCCAAAGCTTGCGCATGAAGTACAATGGACTCGGAGGAGGAGCTATGCAATTACATTTATTTCTATTGAATAGAGGTGTGAGCAAAGGGTGCCATCTGCATCTACATTACAAGCTGTGAAGGCGATGAAAAGTGCGATTGGTTCCATAATGAGATAGAGTAAAATAGAAAAAAAACCTTGCCAATGCGATTTTGACAATTCTTAAATGATAGCTTTATTACTTTGTCCATTTTATGCT